TGCAGCCCTCCACTCGTTTAGAAACTGATCCATGCTGTGAACAATTTGTGCCAATGAAAAATCCTTCCCATCCCATAACAGTTCATTCCTTGCTTGCCAAAGAAACCATACTACAAATACAACTTTTTCAATAATTTGTTTATCATGTGATGCCAAGACCTGCAGGAAAAGTTAGTAAAAGAAAGACTAATTTGTGAACCAGGAACCCCACACCCTCTCCAAACCTCCCTAGCTCTCCTACACTCCATTAACACATGGTTAACATCTTCCTCAATAGGACAAACCCCACACTCCTTAGCCACTCTCACACCTTTTTGATGAAGTTTAACCCGTGTAGGAATAACACCATTAGTCTTTATATTGTGACTGGAGCAGGATATGAGTTCAAATAATTTGTATTATCATGTGATGCCAAGACCTCCGGAAACAGTAGTAAACAGAAAGACTAATTTTGGTGAACCAGGAACCCCACTCCGCTCTCGATCCAAACCTGACCTCAAGCTCTCCTAACCACTCCATTAACACAATGGTTAACAGTGCTTCCTACAATAGGACAAACCCCACAACTTCCTTAGCACTCTCACTACCTTTTTGATGAACGTTTAACGCCGTGTAAGGCAATAATTCCCCGTCTTCAAATACCCTCCAATAAATATCACTCATTTTTAGAGGACTCTACCAAAATCGCTAAGGTATCGACTGAAGTCTTCCCTAATGTTTCCCATTGTCCTTCCCTCGCTTAACCCATTTCACGCCACAGCAGTAACTCCCGATCTGAGAACCCCGGTACTCTACCATGACATCCTCTGGGACATCAGGGGGACTAGCACCTTAGGCGAATCCCCACATCGGCTAGTGCCCAAGGGAAACGTGATTGCGTAATAGAGGAGGCTGTATGGCAGCCTTGAATAGATGTAGACGCGTCTGTGCGGGCTGGCGAGAGTGGGTGAACCCACCCATGGACCCAGGGAACAAAACCTGTTGCGGCGCCACGAGCCCGAGAGGCTCAGGCAGTGACAATATCACAAATGCTAGCTACGCGGTGTGGGCTGTTTACAGACTTTGTATCGAGAGTCAGACCCTTATGGCCCTTCTGGCCCAGTGGGTGGGCGGCAGAATAACCTCTAGCGAGTGACCGGCGTGAGGGCTCCACTGAACCTAGGGGGGGTGTAATCGTGACGATCTGCTGGACATCAGCGGCTGCACTTTAGGCGAATCCCACATTCCGCTTACGCCAAGGGAAGACGTGATGTCGCACTAAAGGGTGGCGCAGACCTGGCCCAGGAACAAAACCGTGCGGGCCGAAGGCTCAAAGCGGACAATATCACACTAGGGCTGGGCTGTTACAATTTGGTATCAGAGTCAGACCTTGGCCCTCTGGCCAGTGGTGGGGCAAACCTCAGCGAGGACGCTGAGTCCCTAGGGGGGGTGTATGTGACATCCTGGACATCAGGGGGCTGCCACTTAGGCGAATCCCACATCGGCTACGCCCAAGGGAAACGTGATGTACATAAAGGGTGGCAGCCTTGAACTAGTGTGACGCGTTTTGGGCTGGCAGAGTGGGTGACCCCTGGCCAAGGAACAAAACCGTGCGGGCCGAAAACCCAAAGCGGACAATATCACACTAGAGCTGGGCTGTTACACTCCCCTCCTATCAAAGTGCCAAATCAACTTATCTTCTAGATTATTTATACCCTAATGAATATTAAGAATTGTCCTAGTGTCTCTTGCACTAAATAACTCCATAATTTTATCAAAATCCCAACCTCTCCTATCATTCCTTATAAGATCACACACTCTCATGTCAGGTTCTACAAAATGAATGCCATCCTCCATATAAAAAGTATCACTCTTGGAAAGCCAAGGATCCTGTGTGACCAAAATATTCTCCCCATTCCCCACTCTCCACCTAACCCCTAAATTTAGTATGTCCTTGGCAAACAAAATACTCCTCCAAGTAGAAATGGGATTATTCTTTAGTGAAGTGGATAAAACATCACCATCTGAAAAATATTTATATTTGAGCGTTCGATAAAGAAGAGTATTGGGTTTGGATAATAGTCTCCACCCTTGCTTACTAAGCATAGCAATATTAAAGCTATACAAATCTCTAAAAGCCATTCCCCCGTCCATTTTACTTTGGCACATCCTATCCCAAGAATACCAATGGATACCTTTATTATTCCCCCTGTAGAACCCTACCAATAAGAATTTATAATGTTTTAAAGTTCATCACACATCAATAAAGGAAGTAAGACCATACAATAAGATAGAAGAGCTTGTGCGGCAGACCTAAGTAAAATCTCTCTGCCTACTAACAAGAGCTTATTATTCCAACAGTTAATCCTACTCCATAACTTGTCCTTTAAATAATTAAAAAGATGTTTCTTCCTTTTACCAACCAAAGAAGGTTGTCACAAATATTTCCCCTCTCCTAAAGAACTATGAACTTCTAGGATATTGGACACCAAAACTTTAACCATACCTGAAACATTAGGACTAAACATGATCCCTGACTTCCTAAAATTAATGGCTTGACCCGAAGCACTTTCATATTCATCTAAAATCTTCTTCACTCTCCTACCCTCCCTGTCTAAGGCCTTAAAAAAGAAAAATGAGTCATTTGCAAATAATAAATGTGACACCCTTGGACATCTAACTCCAGCTCGACACCAATGGATCCATCCTCTCTACTCAGCCTCCTTAAACAACAAGGATAAACCTTCGGAACAAATAATAAAAAGGTATGGTAAAATAGGATCCCTTTGCCTAAGACCCCTCTCTGGAATAACAGGACTAACTACTTCCCCATTACACAAGTAAGAATACCACACATTAGTCATACATGCCATCATCCAATCAATCCATTTGGTACTAAAACCCAATCTACCCATCATATCCTGCAAGAAATTCCAATTGCTATCATAGGCTTTAGTTATATCTATTTTAAGAGCTGCCATACTCGTACCTCCCCTAGTCTTACATTTCATACTGTGAAGAATTTCAAAGGCCACACCAACTTTATCCTGGATTACTCTACCTGTCACAAAAGTAGATTGACTATCCAAAATAATATAGGGCAAAATACGTTTCATCCTATTTGCTAACACCTTTGAAATAATTTTATATAAAACATTACAAAGAGCAATAGGCCTATAATCTTTCAGCTCCTCAAGATTATTATTTTTAGGAATTAATACCACTAAAGTTGTCAAAAAGGAAGTCGGGGAAAATACCTCTATCCAACCATTGCCTGCAACTATCTGAAATGCCTTTTACCCACCACATGCCAAAACTTTTGAAAAAATGCTTGATTTAAGCCAACCAGGCCTGGTTACTTATCAGGGTGCATTTGAAACGCCGCCTACTTAAAATCCTCGTCAAAAAATGGTGCAATCAAAAAATTATTGTCTGCATTAGAAACCCTACCTCTAACTAGCCTTGTAATCCGACTGGTACTTCCCTCTTCCGCCTTGTAAAGAGCTGAGAAAAAATTGATAATCACTACATGCATGTCCCTTGGATCCATTTGCCATATACCCTCACTGCTTTTAAAACCTTCAATCCGGTTGGCCTTACGTCTCCCCTTAATATAGTTGTGAAAGAATTTAGAATTTTTATCACCACTATTAAGCTAAAATACCTTAGCCCATTATCTATACCTTCCATTTTGTCGAATCAAATCTCCATTCTTGTTCTAAAATAGTATTCCATTCTTATCGAATCAAATCTCCATCTTGCATTGAAGCAGAATTGGTTTGGTCTTCAAGCAAACGACGCAGCATATGTTTTCGTACATAGATGTCCCCATTTCTCTGTTTCCCCCACAGCCGTAAAGCTTCAATGCAATTCTGTTTTTTATCCATTACTGATGCATATGAATTCCCATTCCAACTTGACTTAATCACATGTTCTATATCTTCTTATAATAGCCAAGCAATGTCGAATCTAAACATAGAACGACTTTGCCTCTCTGTGAGTTGTTGAGTATCGAAAATAATAGGATGATGATCGGAAACCGGCGTGACCAAAGTACGCACATTCGAATCCGGAAAGCTTGCCAACCAATTACCATTTGCAAAGCCCCTATCAAGACATTCCTTCACAGTAATCTACCCATTTTGTCTTTGAAACCAAGTGAACATAGAGCCTGAATATGCAACTTCCGCTAAACCACAGTCATCAATTGCTTTGCGAAACCCCTGCAATAAGTAATTTGGATGATCGAGCCCACCTTCTTTCTCATCCTTGCTTAATTTGTCATTGAAATCACCAATGCAAACCCAAGCTCTTGAGTCCCTACTAGCCAAAGCCCACAATAAATTCCATGATTGTCGTTTTTGATTCCGTTCAGGACACCCATAAAAAGCTTGTAATTCTTACCAACATATTCCTAATGCCCACCATTCCATCAATGAAGTTTGTAGCAAAACCCATGACCTGAAAATTCAGATTATCATTCCAAAAAAGAGTAAGACCTCCCCCAATGCCCAAATGATTAACCACAAAACAATTCTGAAAACCAATCTTCCATCGCACCTCCACAACTCTACTCTCATGAACTTTTGTTTCCATTAAAAATACTATATCAGGCTTATAACTCCAGGCAAGATCCTTGAATGCATGAACTGTCTGAGGTTGGCCAAGTCCTCGGCAGTTCCAACTTAAGAGCTTCATGACTTCCGGCTGTCTTGTCACCCAGGACCAGCCGATATCTGTGATGAAATAACTCCAGTTGAATCTTCTTGGGAAGAAACAAATGTAGTTATTGTTTGTCATTCTTATGTGGCCTTTTCTTTATCTCATCAAGTTTCGAAAAAGCCTACTCTTCTTGTTGTGCCACTTTCTCGGTAATAATGTTCCAATCCCTATTATCATTCGCACCACCCCATAAAAGAAGCTTTGAATTCCCGAACCTTAAGGGACTTTGCACATGCTGAAAGGCTCCTTGCTTACATGTTAACAGTATTCAGATTACTCTCTCCCCCTTCCTCCCTCAACTAACTACTACCCCTCACCGCTTGTCGCCTCCCAGGAACTCTAATGGAATTATTCCACTCTAGTCTCAGCTCTTCTTTCTTAAGGTGTAAACATAACTCACAAAAATTATCCATATGGCCTAATTTGCCGCATAAGAGACATAAGACTGTGAGTCTTTCATACCTAAACTTAACAAAGATAGCATCACCCGAAGGCAATATTAATTTCTTCCTCCTTCTAAGTGGTTGACGAATATCTAGTCGAACCCATATTCTCAAGTAGGTTGGCTGTAAACTTGTAAGGACTTTAATATGATATGCCACAAAAATGCCCACAAAATTTTCTAATAAATTTGTTGCGGTTTCTGTCATAAATCCCTTTGGCAAGTCATGGACTTGCAACCAAAAATCTGCATGTATTAATGAAATCAGTAAAGGATCCTCTCCATCTTTAATCATTTGCCATAGCAATAATTTTCTGTTAAAGTGCCAAGGGGAGCCTGATAAAACTCTGTCAACATCAACTTCATTATAAAACCTAAATAAAAAGCGTTTAGCACCCAAATCAGTTATGTTTACTCCACCCAAAGGATGCCATAAATCCGCAAAAGTAACTTTCATGGTCTGGAAATTAATGGGATTAGGAGTAAGAAACATCCCAACTAAACATTATTCATATATGGGCTCAATTGATCCTCCAACACCCTCGACGCCCTCTTCCTCTTCATCTGCGATTGTCATTGCCTCCATCGAAGCCTCCATAATGTTATTGCATTAAGGTCCCAGAGACCTAACACAGAAAGAGATCAAGGTTCAACGAATAGGGTTGAGGCATATAGTCCGAGAAACCTACGTAACTATAGAGGACATAGTAGTCGAGAAGGAAAACGAGTTGAGAAAAGGATCAAATATTAGGGTTAGCCATCAAGAATAACGAAAAAACTTTACAACAGAGTAAGACCGAAAAACTAGGAGGAGGAGAGGAAAAGAATTTCTTCATGGTTATTTTTAACTAACAAATTATTATGCACATCAAAATATAGTATAGTGGTACGTGCAGATGCAACTTGATAATTGATTCGAGTTTGAATCTTCTCACCTAATACTAAAAAAAATATTATTATTATTATTTAATATGTTAATTTTTTTTAAAAAGGAGATAACAAAATTTGAATTGTAAAATGACTTGATTATATGCATTAAAAATTTGAAAATATATTTAGTGATTTTTATTATAAGATAATATCACTAATAAAATTAATTTGTCTATAGTTTAATTTCAAAATCAAACTTCAATATTAATGAAAAGTAAATTTATTTATCAAATAAATATTTATGTATAAAAATTTTAGAATAAATAATAAAAGAATAAATGAGTTTTAACTTAATAATACATGAATTAGAGAAATCGTTTCCAGCAGTCTAAATTAAATCAACTCTTTGTTTTTTTTTTCTAAAACAAAAGGGTTAGCAAAAGAACTGAACACCTACAAAATAAAAATAAATTAATCAATGAGTTATAACCAAATAATACATGAGAATCTCTATTTTCAAAAAACTAACTGTGAAGTTCCTAACTTGTGAAGTTCCTAACTTATGATTCAATTGACATGTTGGTCATTCCTTTTAAAATAATACTCCATCCGTTTTTTTTATATAGGAAAAGTTTCCATTTTAGGTATTTTTTTTATATAGAAAATTTTGCTTAATTTGATAACTTTGGAAACCATGCTAATGTGAAAAGTCTATCTTATCCTTGTTTTAGTCGTTTGTAAAGTTTTTAGTATAGGAGATTCTCAAAATATTGATAGACAAAAGTATAGATGAGTATTTAATGTAAATAAATTTTGGTACATGGATTCCTTACATCAATTTCCATTGTAAAAAAATATATATATATATATTAAAATGAAGTTTGAATAAAAAAGTACCACAAAATTTTTAAGTTGGCCACAATGAAAGAAATTTTTACAGACTTTGCTGAAAATTTTAAAAATTGTGTTCAATAATCAAAGATAGTTGGAAGGTTAAATGAACAAATTTTTATATTCTCACACAAATTTTCCAAATAAAGGATAAAAAAATGAATTTCTCTCCACATATTGGAGCATAAAACTTCATTTTTACAATTTTTTGTATTCCTTTCATTCCAACAAAGTATTTAAAACCTCATTGAAGATTAAAACATAATTTAAGACATGCATTGATATTAGATGAGAAATAAATGATATATTAAGGGTAAATTAGAAAAAACATGACAAAAAAATTGGTTAAACTACTTTTTTAATCTTGATAAAAAATTAATTGTGCTTATATAAAAAGAAAAAATTAGTTATGCTTATATAAAAAGAACGGATGGAGTACCTTCTGACTGTCAATTATTTGAGAAATAGTCCCTCGATTATAGTAAAACTAACTATAAAATTCCTAATTAATGATTTCTGCTCACACTTTAGTCTCATTTACAATTTCCGTGATATCTTGATCCATTTGTTTTGAATGAAAATCTTAAAGTATTAATAAAATCATAATTTACATCGTAAGTATTGGTTAAGACCATTAACGATTTATTTTATTTTTTAAAAAAATATATAATTAAGGTCAAACTAATCATGGTTTTGCTTAAAGTTATTAATTTAATGGGGTTAGCTTTAATAAACCCATGATTAAGATTTTTAAATAGGTGGTGGGTAAGGTATATAGCCGACACATATTGTCATTGATGCTCCCATCATCTAAATAAAATAAAAACTGGTGCGCACATTAAGAATCTTAAGGTTCGAGCGCATGTTAGTCTCAGCCATCCTGTTTCCGAGTAATTGCCGATATTTTGCCGTATATACTAAAAAAAAAAAAAAAAAATGAATAACCAGAGCGGTCATTTAGAGAAGGATTATAGAACATGAATATAATTGGTAGCAAGCAACCGGTATGTCAGTTGATATTAAGATGAGAAAGTAAATGGTTTACGAATTAATTGCTTAACGACGCGGTGGACAAAACGTCGTAGATACGACACAATGACGAATATAAAAGTGAGGGCTTATAGACTCATCGTCGACGTCTCTATATAGCACTTCCGTGTTATGCATTGATGCGTTGAAGATAAAAATTAAGTTATTAGTTGCTTATATTAGTCGAAAACGAGTGTTAATGATGCGAGAATAAAATTAGGTTATCGCTCATTATATGTGAGGTAGATACGTGCTAAGAGAACGTAGGTGATGGAGTGTAGCTGATTATGACTGCATGATGCAGTTCAAAGTACGCTCTATTTGAGAAATAGTTCCCCCTCGATTATAGTAGAAGGTGACATGGAACTATATACGAAGACGACACTCTCTTATCTATATGGCGTCAAGTGATATTGGTATCTGCTGCAGCGAGTGTTAGTCTCAAGTAGTAGTCGATGGTGAGACGCGCAATGTACGAGTTGTGTCAATTATTCAGCGGTGTGTAGCGTCACATTCTGAGTATTGGATTGTCGGGATGTATCAGCGCTACTCGACGTGTGTGATGACGACGACCGTGATTCAGTCTAAGAGAATGACAATCTTGTAAAACGTTGATTCATTATATATGCGAATAAGTTTGTACAGTCGCTAAGATCTGGTTAAGAACATTAACGATTATTTTATGTTTTAATCAATAATCAATATTAGATATAGGTCAAACTAATCATGGTTTTTGCTGTGTCAAGTTTTTGATATTGTAATGGAGAGAATTTAGGACTTAAGTAAACCTGCACTGATAATAGATTTTTAGAATATAGGTCTGGTGGGGTAAGGATATAGCCGAACACATATTGTTTCGATTGAATGCTCCCATCATCTAAATAAAATAAAACTGGTGACGCACCAGTTAAGAATCTTAAGGATTCGCGTAGCGTGCATGTTACGTTTCTCACCTCAGTAAGCCATCCTGTGTGTTCGCCGGAGTAGATTAATGGCCGATATTTTGGTTGCGTAGTTATAACTAAAAGAAGAAAAAATAAAAGCGGTAAATGAGTTAGTCGCTGCGGAATACTTTTTATATAATAGATCAAATGATAATATACGGACCATTGCCATGAGTTTTTGGGTAACTGGTCGCCAGCAAACTAGAGAATCCTGAACGCGGGTCTGTGGCTTTAGAGAAGCTAAATCCTTATAGAATTCCAATTTTATCCTTCGGAAACAAAAAAAAAAAAAAAAAGCGTAAAATAGTTATCGCTGCGGAATATTTTTATAGAATCAATGATGCCCCTTTTTGTAACCCAACTGAAAATCTGAACCTCTGTGGCTTAGAAGCTAACCTTTAATTCCAATTTTACCCTTATCTCTTCTCTTTTTAAATAAATTAAAAATAAAAATAAAACCGGAACTCTCTGATTGCGGGGAGTACGTATAGCTGCACAGAAACAGGAAACATAAAATACACAAACCTTTAAACGTTGAATGGATCAGTCGCTTTGAAGATTCATATAAAAAGCAAACAGAAGGAAAAGAGAGAGTTAAATATATATAAAAAAGAGATATAATTTTGGAGAAAATAGAAAATTATGTGTATCAATATATTGAATATGTTATTTTGAGATAAAAAAAAATGAGAAATGTTAAAAATATGTCATTGAATTGATTAAAGAAAAAAGATTAAGAAAATAAAAGAAAGGTAAAGTTTTTAGAATTTGATAATATATTATAATATTGATTTATGGGTAATTTATGATGTTGGGTTTTGTTTACCTCCCCCACTTAGATGATGAGATAATGATATGCCCCAGCCTCAATTCAAATGCTGGACAGCAAACTGGACCGAACCCACAGAAAGAGATAGAGAGAGGAGAGAGTGTGTTTCTGTGTTGAGGAAAGAAAAAGGGAGAGAGAGGACAACTCACTCTTTGTACTCTCTGATTATTGATTCCAGTTGGGTCTAAACAGAAGCCAACTGGGTCAGATTTAGTTTTACCTGGTGATGGGTGTTCTTAGGAAAAGTTCTAATCTTTGATGCTTGTTGTGTCTGCTCAAAGCTGTAAGAGCTGGAAAGAAACTAGATATAGAAAAGAGCCAAGTGCTTTTCTTTACCTCATTAACGATTCTCTTCTCAAATAACAATTGGGTTCTGTTCAACTTGCTGTTTGGTATGATTAGTGTTATTTTGTGCTCTTCTATGGAGGTTTTGATAAAATTTGAATGCTCAGTATAGAAAGAGCAGGGGTACTTTGGTATTGAACCATAAAGTGTAATATTAAGGAGAGATCAGAGTGGGTGGAACTCTTGTTTTCATGGTTTGCTGAAAAATTAGAGTTGTTTTTATCCAATTTTAGATTATTCTTTGTGGTTTCTAAAAGGGTTTTGTTTGCAAAGCAATGATTTTTTATGAGTTATATGAGGTGGGGTTTTAGCAATTTGAGCTTCTGATATTGAATTTTCATCATTAGTGGAGTTTTCTTGGAGGGGTGATTTTGATGAGTTGTGCTGCTGGAACTGGGATTTTTGTCAACCTTTCAAGGCTCTTTGTGAAGTTTCACAGGTGGGCTTTGGTTAAAATGTCTATGAATTGTAAACGTTCTAGCATAAATGGCACATTACCAGCAAATTTCAAATTGAAGAAACAAAAGGATTCTTTGCATGGGCCTAACTTTGTCAGGAAATGGAGGAGAAAGCTTCTGCTTCTTTGGCTTTTATCGATTCTCACCATAGCCAGTATTTGGTTTCTCTCGAATTTTGAATATGGGGCCTTAGGGAGGAAAGAGAGGAGTTTAGATTCTTGTGAAGAAAAAGCTCAGATTTTGCTTCAACATTTCAATGTCAGCAAGAGACAGCTTCATGCTTTTGTTTCTTTGTTCTCTGAATCAGATCAGGTACTATACTGGTTATCTCTCTTGAACAAGATATCCTCAATGGGTCATGGACTTTTCTCTTCTAAGTTTTAGCGTTTTTGGTTTCTAAGCTAAATTAGTGGCTTTTGATAAGAATTGCTTATGGTTTGAGCCCAATTGTCCTTGCTTAGAAAGTTAGCTGAATATAGACAATGGTTTAGAATGACACACAATAGGTCAATAATCTGCTATTTAACTCTTTTTGGGAACTTGGTTCATAGCTATTATATGGAACCCTGAATAGTAAAATGGTTAGAAATCAGATGGGGCTGGGATGCAGGCTGACATTAAGCTGCAAATAGGAAGACTAAGGAGAATTAGCTTTTCTATAATTGAACAGTAATCAAGTGTTGAAACTCACAGCTTTCTTAGTAAGCTTTAAATGGAGTTAGGTATAATTAGAATTAATTTTTTAAGAACTCTCATTTTTTCGCTAAGTTTTGAGTGGTTAATTGTATTTCGGCCATTTCAGTATCATATCTTGATACTGAAGTAGAGTTTTACAAATATTCCTGTATTTTTTTTGTATATTTATCTTTTAGTTTTATCATTTGCCTAAGAATTATTTTTTATGGAAGTTAATATACAGTTTTAAACTTTGAATGGACTTTGTTTGAATTGTCTGATGAACATCTAGGAAAATTATGAATTTGGTAAAAAATTGGAGTTTTGCTTATTCATTGTGTGGTATATTGTTGTGTAGAATTTTCTTGAAGTTGTTAAGATACCGATATATGGAGCATCATAGTTCCATGTTTGGACAAGAGAGGTGAGATAGCTTGTCATGCTAGGATAGGGAAACCAAATGGCCATCCTTTTCTTTTTGTTTTGGTGTTTTGAATTGGCTTCTGTGTAGTGTACCACTACCATCTCTTTGGTTGTCAAAGGCACACAGGTTATGGATGCTGGGACTAGGGGGAAAAAGCCTCCTTGTGATTAGCACCTTGGTCAGTAATACAAAAAGCAATCCGACTGTCAACTATGGCAAAACTTGAGGTTAATTTTCATTTATATGAGTGGTTAATCACAAGAATGATCCCCAAACTTTAGCCAATTGGCAATTAGAGCCAATACTTTACAGGAAATCACTTCTGGCCTGCTTTAACAATGAGGTGCAATTGCAGCAAGGCCTATGTAAAACCAGCATTTGTTATAGTTTAGAAGGATATGTCAACAAAAAGATGGTCAAATTCATAGTAGCCATACAAGTACATGCAGTTAATAATTTCTTTTGTAAGTTAATTTCTCATTAAAAAGAACGTGTTTGGATAGCCCTCCCGTGGTTGCATCCCATGCAAGATAAATTGGTTATTGTAAAGCATACGTGGAAATTGAGTGATTTCTTTTTTCCTTTTTTTTGTCTGATTAACCCGAATTTGGTAGATAACGTTTTGATGGTCATTTTGTCTTATACTTAATTCTCTTTCAGATGATTTATATACAAATTGGAGGTGATGGTTTGTAGATGAAGTGGCCAATGCTAACACTAGAAAATAGTAAAAAGAATGCTTATGTAAAAAATTGTTTTTATTTATGTTTCTGTTCTCACTAACCTGTGTATCACAGATTGCACCACTTAAATGTACCAAAGAACCAGGGCCTGAAATATCAATGACCACTGGTATTGCATGTGCTTTGGAGGTACTGTGTATGAAAAAGCAGGAGTTTCAACCGCAAGGCAGATGGGCTGCTGCTGAAGACGTACAACCTAATGACCAATGCCCAGCTCAAGAGGAGAACTTGCCAAGGAAGCTTGAACAATCATTGCGAGATGAATTGGTACCGTTTGTCTTGCAACTTGTTTGCTGATAACAATTGAACATGAATCTCTAGCATGGAAGTTTTCGATTTCGGTCCCTATCATTTTGTGCATTTGAGTAAATTATGAACTTATTCATGTAGTGGTATAATTTCTTTTTTTTTTTTTTTTTTTTTTTTTTTTTTTTTTTTTTTTTTTTTTTTTTTTTTTTTTTTTTTTTTTTAAATCAAAGCAAAGAAAATGGCTACTTACTGAAAGTTACAGTAGGGCATCATTTGTACTTTTTCTCATGTGTTTATATCATGGGCTTCCTTTAAAGACTGCTAGGAGACTTCTTATCTTTTAGGTATTGTTTTGACTTTGAGTATTCAATCTTAAATGAGCAAAACATCAGATAATGCTGCAACTTTTTTTTTTTTTTTTTTTTTTTTTTTTTTTTTTAAATCAAAGCAAGAAAATGGCTACTTACTGAAGTTACAGTAGGGCATCATTTGTACTTTTTTCATGTGTTATATCATGGGCTCCTTTAGACTGCTAGGGAGACTTCTTATCTTTTAGGTATTGTTTTGACTTTGAGTATCAATCTTAAATGAGCAAACATCAGATAATGCTGCAACTAGAAGTTGAACTGCCCTACAATCGCATTATCAAGCTTTGAAGGAATGTGTAATCAGGAAATAGCTTAAAAAGTTGTGAATACTGATGCTAATAAAGAAAATTTTAACAAATTTAGTTTCTATTTTGGGCACTACAAAGAAATTGTCAGAAATGCTGAAATGTTGTTAATTTGTTGTTTGCATTATTGATTACTGTTAGGGTAATGTAATCAACTTTCGACATTTCTGCTATAAATATGAAGGTCTGGAGAGTGGCTTTTTAGCCTCAACAAACTCACATACAAATTAAAGAGCGTCTATTTTATAGAATAATACAAACTTAATTGGAGAACACACAAGCTTATACACTTGAGTTAAGCCATATAAATAATATGTTTTTTGGGTTGTTTTGGCTTTTACTAGAACTTCTTGCAAACAAGGGAAGTAAGGGACTGTGCAGAAGATCATTGTAGTATTTTGTCTTTTGGTTTGGTAGAAGTAAGTTGTTGGGTCCTCGTTGCAATGTTTATGAGCTGCATATTGTCTGGCCTCCATCTGAAATTCTGGAGGAAGAAAAAGCCGAAGCTAGTTCATTCGGAGCCAGTGCCTCAGCAGCGACAGCAACTGCTGGTGATCAAGCAGCAGCAGCTATCCCATAGTCCTCCTAAAGGTGCTGGAAAGTGGAGAAAGAAGCTTCTTATAATTTTTGTCCTGGTGGGGATTGTCACCTCTATCTGGTTGTTTTGGCATTTGAATGAAAAAATTGTGCTGAGAAGGGAAGAGACGCTTGCCAACATGTGTGATGAGCGAGCACGGATGTTGCAGGATCAGTTTAATGTGAGTATGAACCATGTTCATGCCTTAGCTATTCTTGTATCCACCTTTCACCATGGGAAAGATCCCTCTGCAATTGATCAGGTGATATTCTCATCTCTACAATTGTTTAATCAGTTGTATGCTTTAGTTTTTAATTAATTTCAGCATTCTAAGATAGCTTATATGCTGATGACAATTTTTCTGCTTCAACATGGTCTTCCTTATTGAACCCCACAAACATGTTTTGATATTTATAAAAGATTTGATAAATGAATTCTTTCAGGTGGCTTTACTGTATTGTTTTTTATAGCCAAACTGTGAAAGCAGGAAAACAGATACTAATAGTTTAGAATTGATTTAGCTTTTACTGATAGAAATTATCATTACCATACTGTTTGTAATTTTAGCTGTCTAAGACAAAATTGTTATTCTAAGCTCTCTTATATTTCACAGAGTACATTTAGTGAATATACTGAGAGAACATCTTTTGAGCGGCCACTTACTAGTGGAGTTGCATATGCTTTGAAAGTTCTACATTCAGAGAGGGAGCAATTTGAGAAGCAGCATGGATGGACAATAAAGAAAATGGAGACTGACGACCAGACTCTCGTGCAAGATTGTATTCCAGAACAGTTGGATCCTGCACCCATGCAAGATGAATATGCACCAGTGATATTTTCCCAAGAAACTGTCTCTCATATTGTTTCTATTGACATGATGTCTGGAAAGGTGCACCTATCTAGCACTGCTGTTTTTACTCGTTCAGTTTTCTTATTATTAGTGACTCCTTTTTTTACTTGGTCAAAATAGATATATATTATTGCATTTGTCATCTGTGCATGTCCCAGAGTTAATAGTGAAGCAAGGACTTCTGTACTTGTTTAGTCTGATAATTGCAAATTGTAACTATCATCTCTATGTGGTGCCATTGCAGAGCAAAACCATTTCATCCACAGTCCACTTTTTGCCTAGGAAAAGTGTAAGAGAGATAATAGACCCACTGATTTTAAACTGCTGTAAATCTTTTCTCTATATGTGGAAAACAATGGAGCCGCTATTTATATTACAGCCAGACTAGTTAACCTTTGCAACTAGGTGTAAAAATAGTCTGGACATATTTTTTTTTATTACATCAAGAATTAATTTACCTGTTAAGGATCTACTGTAGATAGTTATGATTCTGCATCACTGGATGCACTCTTTCTTTTGCTTTGTAAGTTAAACGTTTGCTCAGCTTTTTCTGGCACTTTTGGCAGATAGTTAGAGGGTTCTTTTTTGTGCAAAATCATGTTCATTGCTCATGCAGCTCTAATTACTTGGTGATTGTGTAAATATGATTACTTTGCTGATTGCAAAATGGATTACTAGTTGAAGTCACTCTCAATTCTATCATTACAGATCTAGAATATGATGAGTTCCCTGAAAGTATTTATATTTGAAAGCATGTCTTCTACATGCATATACTGATGTCATTTTGTAAGCTGATGATTCTAGCATCAATTGCCATCTTATATATAGGAAGACCGTGAGAACATCTTGCGAGCAAGGGCATCTGGAAAGGGAGTATTGACTTCTCCTTTTAAGCTTTTGAAATCCAACCATGTGGGTGTTGTACTCACTTTTGCTGTTTATAAATCTGATCTCCCACTAGAAGCTACACCACAACAACGAATTGAAGCTACTGTCGGGTAAATTTGTTGCCTTGAATAAATCTTGATTTTACTTTTTGCCTATTGCTTCTGCTTTTCCTCTAAGTAAGATGAAATTGACTTTTAATATGGTTCTCACTTCTTGTGAAGGTATCTTGGTGTAGCTTATGATATCCTGTCAATGCATTTTATGAAATTAACTATTGCTATGGTTCTAAACTGTTTATGAAGGTATCTCGGAGCATCTTATGATATGCCATCACTGGTTGAGAAACTTCTGCACCAACTTGCCAGCAAGCAAACAATAGTTGTTAATGTTTATGACACAACTAATCCATCTGCTCCAATTGTTATGTATGGCACTGATATTACTGATACTGGCCTCTTGCACATCAGTGACCTTGACTTTGGAGATCCATTACGGAAGCATAAAATGCATTGCAGGTTAGTTATCAGAGAATATTATTTACTACACACAGATGAGTGACAACTTGTTCTCCTTCTAAGGTTAATTTGTTCTCCTCTGGATACAGATTCAAGCAAAAACCTGGTTTACCTTGGACAGCAATAAATGCATCAGTTGGGGTCCTAGTTATTACTCTTCTTGTTGGCCATATCTTTCATGCAGCCATAAGCAGAATTGCAAAAGTGGAGGAGGATTATCGTGAGATGATGGAGCTCAAAGTTCGTGCTGAAGCTGCAGATGTGGCAAAATCTCAGGTGCATTTCCTCCCTTTCGACCTCTAAATTGGCTTGTACTTGGGTTCAATTATTTGTCTTTCGCTTCTTCACTGAAAGCTCTACTACCATGTTTCTAAGACTGATTATTCTCTATGTTGCAGTTTCTTGCAACTGTCTCCCATGAAATCAGGACCCCGATGAATGGAGTTTTAGGTGATTAAGATATCTCTTTTATAATGAATATTCTTTCAATATGGCATTATTTAGTAATGAAAAACTGCTTTCAATCATCATTAGGTATGTTACAAATGCTAATGGATACGGATCTTGATGATAACCAAATGGACTATGCCAAGACTGCTCATGATAATGGGAAAGATCTAATTTCATTGATAAATGGGGTCCTTGATCAGGCTAAGATAGAATCTGGCAGGCTGGAGTTGGAAGCTGTTCCTTTTGATTTGCATTCGGTACTTGACAATGTTGTATCACTTTCTTCAAGTAGGTGCAATGAAAAAGGGATTGAGGTAACTACCAGGTTGACCATATTACTTTCTTCTTGTGTTTTGGTTGATATCCTTTCTTAAATAAACTTGTTTGGTATTTCTGTTTTGGTGGATTGTAGTTGGCCATTTATGTCTCGAATCAAGTTCCTGAAGTTCTTATTGGTGACCCTGGACGGTTCCGGCAGATAATTACTAATCTCGTTGGAAATTCAGTAAAGGTTGGTCTCAGCATGTACTTATGGTTATATTTTTCCTTTTGAAAATTCAAAATTATATTTTTAATCTTAATTTTGTGGTTATAAACTACATTGCCAATTGTGGATAGTGTTAGACTGAGTACTTCTGATTTTCAGTTCCTGAAACCTGTGCTAAAATTGGGCCATTTGATGGTTTCCCTTAGAACCTTGGGGTCTATGTAGCATTGCCTTTGTGAAGAAAGATTTTATTGGTTGCACAATATTTGACTGATTAATATTTACATGTTTTAATTTCAGTTCACACGTGAAAAAGGGCATGTATTTGTCACAGTTCATCTGGCAGATGAAGTAAGAAGCCAAGTTGATGTCAGGGATGCTGTGCTGAAGCAAAGCTTCAATTTAGTTGAAAACTTGTCAAATGAAATTCATAATTCATTGAGTGGGTGTCCTGTGGTTGACAGATGGAAAAGTTGGGCAAAATTTAAGACGTTACACAGTGTAGATACAATTGAGGCACCTGAAATGATTAGATTACTAGTTTCGGTTGAGGATACAGGTGTGGGAATACCACTGGAGGCACAAAGCCGCATCTTCATGCCTTTTATGCAGGCTGATAGTTCCACTTCACGAACATATGGTGGGACTGGAATAGGATTGAGCATCAGCAAATGCCTTGTGGATCTCATGGGTGGGGAGATTGATTTTGTTAGTGAACCTGGCACTGGCAGTATCTTCTCATTTACTGCTTCTTTCAAAAAAGGAGATGTGAGTTCTCAGGATACGAAGTGGCAGCCATATGATCCTACTATTTTGGAGTACCGAGGGTGGAGAGCATTGGTAATTGATAAAAGAAGTATCCGAGCTGAGGTCACTAGGTATCATCTTCAGAGATTGGGAATATCTGTGGATGTAGCTTCCAGTCTGGAATCTGCATGTTCTTATGTATCTGGAGGTCATTACACAAGGTATGTTTGGATTTACTAGTAAATTTGTATGTAAGGTTGAGATTCACTTGAATTTAAATCACTTAAATTATTCAAGTTGGGATATTCTTTCGCAATCGGTGAAAAAAGAAAAAATCTTGTATCATCAATCTTTGCTCATGTTATCATCACTGGAAAAAGAAATTGTTTATTATCTCAAAACCATGTAAATGTAAAATACAAATTGGAAAATATGAATTATAAATATAAAATCATTATGGTTATAGTGAGATTGTAAGATTCAGAAAATATTTACTATAGACATGATGATTCAGTTTTATATAGTTCTGTTAATTGTTTCCAACAGTGTTCAAGAAGATTTGGCTATGGTCCTTATTGACAAAGATGTTTGGCATAAGGAAACAGGCATTGCTTTACATCGTCTTTTGAGAGAATCAAAGAACAATTATGTGACAGAAATCCAAATAAACCTTCCCAAGATTTTCGTGTTGGCTACCACCATCACCGCTGATGAACGCCGTGAACTCTCATCAGCTGGTTTTGTAGATAATGTAATTATGAAGCCTCTCAGATTAAGTGTTTTAATTGCTTGTTTCCAAGAAGCCTTTGGCAGTGGAAAGAAGAGTCAAGTTAGGAGGAAGAAACTGTCGACACTTCAGAATCTACTTAGTGGAAAAAGAATTTTGGTGGTAGATGACAATAAAGTGAACAGAAGAGTGGCAGAAGGAGCTTTAAAGAAATATGGAGCAATTGTTACTTGTGTGGAGAGTGGCAAGGATGCTTTGGAACTGCTAAAACCACCACACACATTTGATGCATGCTTTATGGATCGCCATATGCCGGAAATGGATGGGTAGTTTATTTATTCTTATAAACTATAAATGTTTTTGGATATTTACCCTCTTTGGTGTTGTTTCCCCATCATTCATGGATATGATAAACTGATTCTGCATCTTTGATTATGCAGTTTTGAAGCTACCCGGCAAATTCGGTCTTTGGAGAAGCAGTTCAATGAGCAAATTGCATCTGGGGAAGTATTGATGGAGATGTTTGGAAATGCAGCATATTGGCACACTCCAATATTGGCAATGACAGCAGATGTGATTCAGGCAACAAGTGAAGAATGCATGAAGTGTGGGATGGATGATTTTGTGGCAAAGCCATTCGAAGAAGAGAAGCTGTACAATGCTGTGGCTCGTTTTTTTGGGTCTAGTTCATAGAGTCAGATGTCAGTTATTGCTCATCTGTCCTTCAGCCAGCATTTTTATTTATGCTGAATTTACATTGACCCCAAAGCCTGCGGTTGGCTGACTAACAACAAGCCCTGCGTCTACGAAGATCGCAGATAGAGTGATCCACAACACATTTTTGCATCTTTCCTGCTCTGGTAATTTTGAGATAACTCTAGATGGTTTCCAAATGGACACAAGCATATATTTATTTTTCACTTTTTAATCCACTATTTGAGCCCTTCAGTACTTTATTAATCACCTTCAGCATTCATAGAACCTTTTTCATCAAATTATTCACATTGCATTTATCTTTCAAAGAATCTTTCTTTCATTGACCTGAATAAGTAGATGACTTTCTCAAAGATGAAACTAGCCTAAATTATTTCCCATAAATCTTTTGGCATAAATGTTAAAGTGTTAACATTTAATATTACACTTTCTAAGAATATAAAAAGTCACTTTGAAATCAAATTTCTATATGAGATGTGAATTCTGTATGTGTCAAGAACGTTTCTATTTCTGCATGTTTGTCCATATTATAGGAATTTCATGATCAAAGAACTTTCCATTATTCATGGATGCTTAACCTATTATTATTACAGGAATCCAAGACTGAAGATGGCTATGTTCAAGACCTGGGAAGTAAAAGCAAAATCCTAGAGGCCAGTTTGTTGCACTGTACCATCTGATCAATTGAAAAAGACAATGACTGACACGGCTGGCTTTCTGACTCTAACTAATTCTCCCTGAGGCTCTGTTATTTTTATTTTACTGTGTTCATTCTTCAGAGAGTAGGCAGATGATAAACTGTTAGAAGTGAATATTACTTGAATGTTTGCACAATTTGCTGACTGTGAAGAATGTGGCATATGGCAGTTGCAACCCTGTAACGATCTTATCTTCAAAACTTCTATTCCTGAGAAGGATCAAAATAAATAAAAGAAGATGGTCCAGAGAAAGGCTGCAAAATAGTTTCTGAACATAAAGGGGGATGCCGTTTATGTAAAACTTAATGATTGGAAAATGTACCCATAGCTTGTTCTTAGTTGAAAAATGTAAATTTTTTATTCACTTGTTCATTTACATGTAAATCAAGGTTGCATCTCCTTGTAAGTAAATGTGTAAGGAAGGTTTGGTTTGTTGTAACTATAGTTTTGTTGACCGTAAATAAATTGCAGCATATTATAGTTTTTATATATATACAGATAAGAAGTTGCTCTCATTGGATTTACTGCTACTTTATGCTGATTTAACTTGAGCTTGATTAATGTTGATGGAAAATGTCGTTAATTGGCCAAAATAGTCTACCTTCTATATGCAATGGGCCAAAATTTATAAAAAAAAATGCTAAGCATTGGATGGAAAGAACATGCAGATTGAGATTTTTTTTATCTTGGCCAAGAATTTATAGTTAACAAATTCGTGGCATCATGTGAGTAGCATTCAACATCTTTTCTTATAAGTTGAAAGAAGCAATAACCTTTCTCTTTTTAGGATATAAACCGCTTGAGTGGAGCGCATTAACATGCTCATCCTGCTTGTGCAACTGTGCACGACTCTTTACTTTGGCATATATATATATATATATATATACACACACACACACATTATAATGGACTTTCGGGGTTTTTATTTTTTGCATTCATAAAAACTCCAAAAGTCCATTATAATTCTTTTCATTATCTTTTGCTCTATCTATAAATGGCGCTAGGCAACAAGCCCTTTTGGATGTACAAATGCTCCATTAGATAGGTTACTGTGACCTCTCTCTGTCTCTCTCTCTCTCTCTCTCTCTCTCTCTCTCTCTCTCTCCGACTCTCTCCCTCTATTTTTGGGTAAGATGTCAATCTTCTTGTTAAGGCTCACGCTTGTTGCTCTTCTTGTCATGTCAATAGCTCCTTTAAAATCAGGTAAGCTAATTACTAATGCCCTTAGCCTTGACATATATTAGTAATCTATAGGGCACATTTCCAACTTTCTTTGTTTCTTTTTATTAGATGGGGAACTGGAGCAATGGTGTATAGCAGATGAGCAGACCCCTGATGAAGAACTGCAAATGGCTTTAGATTGGGCATGTGGAAGAGGAGGTGCAGATTGTAGTATGATTCAAGTTAATAAACCTTGCTATTTCCCTAACACCGTTAGAGCCCATGCTTCTTTTGCTTTCAATAGCTACTTCCAAAAATTCAAACACAATGGTGGATCTTGCTATTTCAGAGGAGCTGCCATTTCCACTGAACTTGATCCCAGTAAGTTCATCTTTAGTATTTTTTTTTTTTTTTTTTAAAGTGCAAGAGGTAAAAATTTCATATATGTTGCTTGTATATGCTGCACGAAGCAACATAACTAGATTGCTTATGCTCTCTTACGCTTCCCTTCAGGGATATGAATTTTGTGAACTGAAAATATGATCCCTCTAGAGAATATAAGTTCATCTTTTTTTTTTTTTTTTTTTTCTGGTATTACTAAGGGTGTACTCTCAACAGTTAGACGGGAGACTAATCCCTTTCGAGTCGAGGGCCATTATGTTTAAATTCCTACTCAAGATGCGTACTCCATGACTCCAAACCGCGGATGATTAGTATTTTAATTATTATTGCATGTGCTTACTTTCAATGGCTTGCTGCTTGTTGCTAATAGACTTTCCTCCAATCACTCAAAAAGTAAAAAAAAAAAAAAAAAAAAAAAAAAAAAGAAAAAGATATAGTATTAATAATTTATCATCCCATAAAAAAAAAAAAAAAAAAAAAAAAAGAAAAGATATAGTATTAATAATTTATCATCCCATGTGGGCACTAGTTAATTTTAATCTTTAAAGGTAAATAATTTAGTCAATTATGAGCTTACATTGACTGTTCCAATCAGAAAGTTGTAAGCCCCCATAGACCTGCTTTATGTTACCACTCTCACAATATATTATACTTAATTGATCTATTATAAACTAATTCTAGATAAGCATTATTCTTTTGATAATGACATTGGCTTGGAAAAAAAAAATTGTTCTGCAGGTCATGATTCTTGCCACTATGAGTTCATTCCCTGATGCAAAGGCAAAGAGAAGAATAAACATCAAGGTTGTGATTTTGATTTTTCTGAAATTTTATTATGATTTCTTTATTTACTGTAGTAGTACTACAGGCAGCAGGATTGGATTCTCTCATGTTAGCAAGTATTTTCAATTTCTTCAAGACAAATTTATTTTCAATAAATAGCAATTGTTATTATATGACCACAAACAACAAGAAACATGAACATCAGCACTTGTTTGGTTAAATGGTTTCAACTATATTCATATAATACAAATTCAAAGACTAATGTACATGGAATAAAAGAAAATTACAGCAATTCAATTATAAAATTACACAAAGAGATGAATGATCCAACTGGCATTTTACATCAATTTGACATATCAATATATTTTGGAGGTATATCACAACCCATGCATTTGCTCAAAAAAGACTAAAAGAGCAAGATCATGCACTATAAGATGAATGAGATGCATACACAAGGAATCCTATGATTTTTCTTTTTTTTTTTATATATATATATATTTGGTCTTTAAAAATTATAATAAAAACGAACCTTATTTCTCTTTTATAATCGTACTTTCCCTTTAAATAGTTTATTTATAAAAACTACTAAAGAAAAGTAAGAAAGTAGCCGACCAGTACTTTTAATCGCCATTAAATATTTTTATCATTAATTTTAACTTTGAGTTTTTGTTTAATTTTAATTTTAGTTTTAGGTTTGATTTTATTCTATGAATACAAAAACGTTCCCATATATATTAAAATATACAATAGTATTATAAATTTATAATTCAATTCATTGTTTATTATTGGTTATTTAGTTAACAACTTGTAAAAACTTTAGAATTTTATTGAATAAACACACGATATTTAATTTATTTAACGAGATGAATTTAATGTTATAACCCATGATTCTATTTTAATAATATGAGATTAAATTGATCAAAATTTAAATTTATTCAAAATTATATTTAACATCCCAAAACTTAAAATCTAAAACTCTGTTTTTTTCCTCCATGGGGGCCACCAATGAGCTCTCGATGCTCACCTCTTTTTCCTTTCTTTTTTTTAATTTTTTTGGCAAATAATCCTCACATCTATATAAGATCTAAGTTATTGTCGCCAAAAAATTGGAATTTATTGTCATCCATATCTTGATATTCTGTTCTCATATATAATTCTAAATTATTGTTGTCATTATTACGGTGATTTTGTCTAATGTCTTTTGTTATTTAGGTTATTATACAGGACGAAATGCATATCTCCTCTCTAATAAAAGAAAAAATTTGAACGTAATTAAACCGGATTTATAGAAAGACCATAGAGTCGAATAATAAAGGATTGTACTATTCATTTTCCCTCTTTATTTTCCACCTTATATTTGGAATGGAAGAAAAATAAAAGGGAGGAAAAAAAATAAAATTATTTTCATTTATTTGGAAAGACTCAAATTATGGAGAAAAGAAAATGACATTATCGCAAAGTTAGAATTTTACCATTTATATGTATGTAATATAAATATTATCTTAATAAAATTAATAAGTCCAACTTCTCCATGATAAAATAACAATTGTTTATTTTCTTATTTATTTTTCACTCTATATTTGGATTGTAGGGAAAACCAAAAAGAGTAAAGAAAATAGAATTATTTTCATTTGTTTAGAAAGATGTCATTGTTATTTATAATTTTACCATTTATATTTGTAATATATAAATATTGTCTTAATAATATTAATAAATTTAGAAAAAATAACAAAAATTTTGAAGTTCCAAAACCAATTTCTATGTTGAATATTATTCACCATTTAATTGATATTTTAATCGAAAATAAATAATGACAAACTTATGTATTTATATTTATAAAGTCATCATGAGCATACACTAAAAATTTTTAATTAATTAACCACAACGAAATGAATAAGACACCAAGTCACAATAAAAATTTGAAGTTATAGCAAAGGCCATTTTGGTCATTTTATATATATAGTGCTATTTTTTTCTCAAGGCTCTCCAATTTAGACCGATGAGCTTTTTATGGGCCCCAGAGAGTTTCGAAGGAAATTTTCCTTCCTATCACATTTTACACTCACTTCCTGAACCAGAGAAAGTAGCTTTCTCTATTTATTTTCCACCCACATTTTCTTTCCTCCCATAAAATTCCTCATTCATAAACATAGTGTGAGTACGGGTCTGTAATTATATCTGTAGGAGATACAGATGCCTGTGTGCCACTTGCATACGCAAGATTTCTCATTTTAGCAGAAGATAGAACTCCAGGAGTTCCCCTGGGCCATGGTCAAAAAGATAATGAGAATTGCCAAGAACAAACACTAGAGCAAAAACCAATGAGAAACAATGAAGAGTGGATTTAAATTCAAATTCTTAATTATCGGAAACGATTGTTTAGAACTGGAAAATATGGAATTCACTCACATCTTAATTAAATAAAATTGTGAAGAATTATCCAATAGAAATAAGATTAACAATATAATGACGGAAAGATACTCACTTATTTTCCATGATTGGAATCGCTAAGCGCAGAAACCAATTTGAAGAAGCTTTGAAATTGAAAAGTAGAAAGAATAGAAGATTCTTTTATTGATTACATACTTTATTGCTGAGATATTCATTATATATAGACGAGGTGAAGAACTTTCTAGAAATATTTTGTTGAATATCAGTTGTTATTTGAAACTTCCACCGAGTAGGACGCCATCCTTATAACACAGAGCAAAAACTAGGGGCGTGCAGTATTCTCGGTTCCGGTTCGAAATTTTTAAAATATTAAATCTAAATTGACTCTTGAATTATTGATTTCAGTTTGATTTTTATTTTAGTGCAGTTCTCATGAACTCACACTTTCGATCGCAATTTCTGACAATATATATGTGTTATTTTTTCAAAAAAATTTTGATTCTAATGCGTTTTTCTTTCAAAAAAAAGTAAAGTGAATTTAAAAAAATCATTCATAAAAATAAACTAATTTTTAAAATGTCCATACTCATATAAAAAAAAATAAATTTTACAAAATAATCAAATAAATTATCATTTTATTTTTTTCTAAATGTTATTAATTAAATAAATTATTAGAAAATTTTAAAAACTGTTTCAGACAATGTAATTTTGAACTATGTAAAAAATTTTAAAGGAAAAAAATACTTCCTCCGTCCCATTTTGTTTGCATGGTTTGACAAAACATGCATATTAAGAATTTAGTCAATAAAAGTTATTTTATCATTTTTTACCCTTATTAATAAAAGTTTTTCATTTAATGAAGGTTGACAAAACATTGCATATTAAGAATTTTAAGTCAATAAAAGTTATTTTATTCATTTTTTACAAGAATTTAGTCAATAAAAGTTATTTTATCATTTTTTACCCTTATTAATAAAAGTTTTTCATTTAATGAAGGATCATAAAAGTTATCATGAGAAAAATAATTATTTACATATCTAAAATTAGAAACCTTGCAAATATTTTGCGATATCCAAAAAAGAAAATACAAGCAAACAAAATGGGATGGAGGGAGGATTAAACTCCCATTCGTATTAAACAATATACTTTTATTCTCAATATTTCACATTTTTTACCATTTTACTTTTTAAATTTTTAAATTTTTAAATAAAGTGTATTTCAAAAAAAAAAAAAACTTTTTTAAGTAAAGTGTATCATGCAGTAAAAGATCATTTAGACTTTTAGAGGTGCACTAGTCTTTTCTATGACATGCGTACATTGACTATGCTCATTATATACTTGAACTCTTAATTTGTTTTTATCTATATAATATTAAAGCTTTAAGTTTTTATATTAAAATAAATACAATTGCTTAATTTGTATAAGATTTTATCGTACAAACTATTTGTACCTAATTCTTCTTATGTACCTAATTCTATTTTTATATAATAAAGTAGTCTTAAAATAGAATTCAACATAATCCCTTGACCTAATCCTTCAGTCCCTAATTTATAAATACAGATTCTTAAAACCTTAGTAGGTGCCCAAAAAGAAAATCAAGTTATCACTCAATCTTCAACCCTCTCAAGTCATTACTCAATCTCCAATTTCTGCCCTCAACCCAAAATCAATATTGATATACAACCTAATGAACAATAATAATAATAATAATAATAATATAATAATTAATAATTATTTATTATATATTATTATATTATTATTAATTATTATTTATTATTATTATTATTATTATTATTTATTTATTGCTAAGTAAAAGAAATGAGAAGATGATCTGAATTGATAATGGTAATCACTTTGACTATAACGGTAGTATTACTTACCGAGTGCATTAGAAACAAAAATATATGCACATACATACAAATTTTTTAAACCCCAAAAGGTGAATAAAAAATAGTTCTAATTTTTTTCTAGTTTCATAAACACTATTTTCTTTCGAGTCAAACAAATTTAGAATATAAGAAAAATAATAATAAGAAAATTAAAATTCTTAATCATCAAGAGGCTATCTATTGATTGCAAAGGAGATATAAGTCCTTGATTAAATTAAAGTGACAGTAGTTACAAATTAATTCAGTAATGAAAAAAATAAAAATGAAAATGAAAAATTATTATTAAAAATAAAACTCTTTCTCAGAACTCAACATATAACAAAAAATAAATTATGTTAAAAAAATTATTAATTTGAATTTTAAAAATCAATCCCTTCTTTAAAGGTCGTAATTTAATAAAATTCGACGTTAATGAACAAAAAAAAAAAAGGATAATGCTAATTTTGGTGTCTATACTTGTCATTTTTTTCTATTTTGGTGTCTGAACGGGAAACTGTGACAATTGAATGTTCAAACTTGCAATTTTTTTTATTTTGATGTCTCTTGATGACATGGACTATTCAAAAATCCAATGGAACTAATTGCGACCCACAAATGTCTGTGTCCGCTTATGTGGATTGACTATTTTTACACGTAGAATGCCATCGTGGCAAAAGAGATAATGCCATCGTGGCAAAAGAGATAAAATGTCTCATTTACCCCCGTAAAGGAGCAAATTACCCAAACCCATAAAAATTTCTCATGTTTCCAGCTTCTCTACAACTCAACTTCCATATCATTTTTATTCTTCAACAATCCTGGAATAGTCCTCTTTGCTCTATTGCACATAACAAGATTGAGTCGTTCAAAGAAATCGCAATCATTGTTCCGCTCAACCTTAAAATTACAAAAAGTAATTTCAATCTCAAACGAAAAGAAATGAAAACCCTAAAATCAAACAAAAGGAGAACAAAAGTACACACTCACCAATCGAATCTCGCAAGCAACAAATTTCCTTTTAGGATTCAACTTCGTCCATGATGTTCGAACTGGCCATGCAGTTCTACACTTTTACAAAATCGAAAATCCATCTTTGAGAAGGATAGAGGAAGAGTGAGGGAGAAAAGGAAGAAAGAGAGACACTGCAAGTTTGAATCGTGATTTAAGTTAGTCAAACCGGGGGGGGGGGGGGGGGGGGGGGGGGGGTTGCTTGTGTTTAGGGTGATAATTATATTAAAGAGGGGCAAATGAAACATTTTATTCCCTTTGTCCACGGTTGGGTCCCACATGTAAAAATAGCTTGTGTTTAGGGTGATATATATTAAAGAGGGGCAAATGAAACATTTTATTCCTTTGCCACGGTGGCGTCCCACATGTAAAAATAGTCTATCCATGTAAGCAAACACATAGGCGTTTGTAGGTCACAATCAGTCCTATTGGATTTTTTTTAAGTCCATGTCATTAGGAGATACCAAAATGAAAAAAAAAAAATGCAAGTTAAAACATTTAATTATCATAATTTTCCATTTAGACACCAAAATAAAAAAAATTAACAAATACAGACACCAAAATTCATATTATCCCCAAAGAAAAGAAGACTGAAGCCAAGTCAATGTGTCGCTTAGGGGAGAAAAACTACTAAAATTTGGATTGAAAAGGCCGATGTGGCTGCAATGTCAACTATTAAAGTGAAACCCACTTTTGGAAGACTGCTACATCAGCCTCGTAGGCGGTTAGCAAGTCTTTTTTTTAATTTACTGTGCATAAAATTGAAGATCATACATATTTATACTACAAATTGAAATATAAATACAATAATATGACAACATGTATACTGAAGTACGACAAGTGAAATTAAGCCAAATCTAAAAAGTGCAGCCCAAATAAATGGTCCTGGATTAAATACATTAGTGCTAAATTGGAAGATTATGAATGAAATTGACCTAACAATACCTTTCTCGTTTTATTTTCAAGACTCCATTTTTCATCCCTTGAGCCACCATTTTTTTTTTTTTTAACAATCCGGTGTTCAAAGCCCACGATTCGATTAATCTGGATTCGCATCGGACATACCCATAAAGAGGGGCAAAGCATCTCTTCTAAGGTGTTAAAAGAAACTCATACCCAGAGTTCAAATTAAATACCTCTAGTTAAGAGAAAAAGAATTTCTGTCATTCCATCTCATTAATCAGGGGGTTGACCCACTTTTTTTTTTTTTTTGTTTACTTGAAAGGAGGGTAAAAAAGTCAGATTAATGGTTCACACAAGGCCAGATAGCCCAACCGCATTAGCATCCAGCAAGAACCTAGCCTGACTTCGAGATCTCTCAAGCCTATAAATCCCATGAAGCTTCAGTACTGCCTCATTAGCCAACAAGTCAGCCATAGAGTTTGCTTCCCTAAACACCTTGACGATCTTCACGTTCCACTGATGCTGCAGAAGCTTCATGCATTCCTGACCCACCTCTTCTTTAATTACTAGTAATATTACTGTTATAATATCAAGAATAAGAAAACCATTAAAGCATTTACTTAATATCTCTCTTGAACATTTCCTAGAACTCTGTGTAATGTAATATTAAACGAGGCAACAGAAGTTTGTTTTCACAGAATGATGAAAAACATGCATATGATGAAAGACAATCAAAATTATAAAAATAAGAATTAAAGGAGAAATAGAAAAAAAAAATTATACAATAATATTAATGAAGAATCATAGGACTGCATGAAAAGCTATTTACAGATAACATGCAAATAAAATTACAATCAAAATTAAGTGATAACTCACAGGAATATTTGTTAGTCAGTCAAAAGCGCCAAAAGGTGAAAACAGCCCAGATCCTAATTTCACAACACAAAACTCCCCATTAAAGATATAGAAATAAAAGTAGGAAAAAAAAACCTAAGGATTTATATGAATATTAATGCTGTATTTGCTAAGCCGTAATACAATAATTGATGATTACATTGCATGAATTTATTTAAAGCAGAAGCAAAAATACCCAACTAAATTATAAGAAAAAACTCAAATTCGAATTTAAAATTTAGAGCCATAATACAAGATTGAAAATTAAGAGTGAAACAAAGAAAAAATTTCCGACCCTTTTGAATGAGGAGGTGAATATATATCAAATGATTAAGCCTTACTTTTATAGTTAAATTGCCTAATATATCAAATAAGAAATATTCTTTTATGTTTATGTCCATTCATTTCAAGAATAGAAAAGTCTCCAAATAATTCCCTTATCAAATGAGCATCAGCACTTCTTTGGTTAATTGGTTTCAACTAGATGAATGATGAATTCATCATATTCATATAATACAAATTCAGAGACTAATATACATGGAATCAAAGAAAAATACAGCAATTCAATTATAAAATTCCACAAAGAGATGAATGATCCAAGTCATGAAGAAATGATGCACCACAGTTTTGGCCAGTCACCCCTAGAATTAGAAGAGTAAGCTTGCCCAAGCAGCAATAAATGCAAATCCACCAAATGGAGCCAAGGTTGCATACTTTCTGTCTTCAAGCAATGCCACAGAATAACACCTACACAGTTCTGACAAACTCTTCATTTTTTGCAGTCAATTATGTAAATCGCTAACTTAAATGATAGCTTCAACAGAGCAGAACAGAGAAAAGAAAACACAGAGAGTGAAGCTCTTCCAATCAATGCATTACTGCATTCTAGTTGTAGAAAGATAGTGATATCCAATTATCGCATTCAAGTTTACTCTATTCTAAGAAAACTCACTACATCTAAGAAAACCCATGTACAAATAGATACATGTTCACAGCCTTTCCAAGTACAGCATATGGAAATAGTTACATGAAATCAAGGACAAACATGACATTATATCTGTAAATCATGCAAAAGATAAAAAATCAGAAAACAATAGAATCCCACTGACTTCCTCAACAAAACAAAGAAATCAAATGGAATAGATCAGATTATTATCCCATCAAACGTTTTTTAAAAAAAAAGTACAGTAGTCGAGTTTTGGCATGCTAATCACACTGGCATTTTACATTAGTTTGACATCAATATATTTTGAAGCTATATCACTACCCAAGTTTTGCATGCATCTGCTCAAAAAAGATTAAAACAGAAAGATCATACAATATAAGATGAATGAGATGCATATACAAGGAAATGACTGGTTTAAGACTGATATATGCAGGATCACGTAAAAGTCAAGAAAAAAAAAAATCAGGCTGATGATTTGACTGCATCAAGGAGCAACACTTTAAGATCATAGAGTATTATGAATGCTATTCAATCTTAATATCAAAATTTCTAAATTTAATACTCACATTAGTCATTACTATCCCATTACATGGAGAACAGGAAATTCTGTAATCACAATTGCCAACATCTTCGAAGCAATTCCTTATTTTCCTAAGACAAGTCCTTCTTTGACGTGTCATTATGAATGGTATTAATCTAAGAAGATTAGTAACTAGGTCGATCCATTTTGTATAATTTTCCTAAAGAAGATTAAGGTATCTAGCGTTGTCCCAATCCCATGAAAACCAAAGGCTCAGCTCAGCGCATTCAAGTCACAGGTCCCTAATCTTGATTTGTCTAATTTAAAGCATTGCTTGAACTCCTAACTGAGCCTTTGAATTTTTTATGTTGACTATTTCAACTTAGAGATCCCTCATCTTGACTTGGATAACTCAAAACTCTTATCAGTTTATCATAAAGAGAGGCAAATTAAGAAATGGAATTCATTTGCAATTCCACATTTTTTATGTTGGTATACAAAATTTTATATTGTCCATTTTCATTCAGTTACTGAGCATATAAAAAGCACAGAAATGGTAACTAGAAGAACTTCAAATTTCTCTGGAACAATTTATGGCTTTCAAAGAATGAAAGCATAACAATGTCAACTATAAATTTACATATTAACAGCAATAAATCCATTGGTATACAAACACATCAAAGAGCAGAAATTATAACACTTACGTCCCAGAGAAAGCAAGAATTCCAGTTGTCAAAAGGCCCCCAAACTGAGACAAAATATGAAAGAACAAAGTTCAAAGAAACACGCTTTTACATAGAAAACCTTAGTCACATTAAATATATGAGTACAGAGCAATAAACTAACTGACATATTTATATGAGAGAGGGAGAGGAGAAAACTTACAATGTGGGGATTTTTGGTGATAGGGGCAGCAAGAAGAGCTGCAGTGTGAACCAGATGGTATAAAGATGCTGTTTGCCATACCTGCATGATATAAAATACAAACACAAGCAATATATTTTCTTAGAAGCCAACCAAAAATTTAAGGGAAAAAAAAAAGATATAGAAGTGACTGGTGACTGAATTATCATTTAAGAACATGGGAAAAGAACACCTCCTTGTAAGCAGGATTCTGGGGTTTAAAGACATGGGCGCCATAAGTACCCAACCCAAGTGCTGCAACTCCTGTTTTTGGGTCAATCCCAAATAATTTCACAAACATATGTTAAATTAAACCTAATTCAGATTATATTAATTGCACATACAAATGGATAGAAACTATGAATTGAGAGAAGCAGCAAAAGTACCAGAAAGCGCAGCTACTTTATGCCATGCATACGCATCCATTGTTCTTTAAGTATTTTCTGTCGCTCTTTTCAGTTTCAGAAAACGATCATTCGATCACGAACCTAAAAGTCAAAAACCCCAAAGCTCGATATTAATTTAGAACTTCAGATTTTCAGAGACGTCGTTCTCAAGGAAGGCAGTGAAGTGGAGCTAGATGGGCTCTGCTGTCTCTGTTGTGTTTCATTAAAGGGCCATTTTGGGCTTGCAAGCTGCATTGCAGATTCCCAATCCCTGTGTTCTCCACGATACTGTCGATACATATTAGAATGGCCCAATTATTAGTAGGCTTGTTCTATATGTACATAGTAAGGTATAGATTTTTTATTAAGGGAAAAGGAGTCTGACTACTTCAATCTCAACCACCATTAGTTTATAAGCAATCTCATATTTACCAAATACTATTTTTATGTATTAATTTTTTTTTATAAAAAAAAAAAAAAAGCATTCTCTCTCTGAAACAGTCTCTTCAATCTTTCACTTTCACATTGTCTACATAAAAAATTTGAGATATACCTATAACGGCTAAATCATTAAAAATACCCAAAATTTTATAGGTAGTTTTAATTATACCGTAAATTTAACTTTCTTCTCACAGTACTCTGAACTTTAATTTTAATTACAATAGCATCTTAATTTCAAATTTTATCCAATTTAATATATAAAATATTATTTTGATCAGACTTATACTCTCTTTTATGGTCAGGTTAACTAAAAATTTATTGTTTAACACCCTAATTAATATTGATTAGGAATTTAAAAATTCATAAAAAGCCAAGTAAAATAATAAATTTTAGTTAGTTATAAACATAAATATTAGTTTAGATTGTATATACTCAGGTTAAATCTGTTATAAAAATAGATTTTCAATTATTTTATTTATAGGGAATCATTACTTATTGTTAATATTATGTAAATAAGTCAAGTATTTTATTTTTAAAATGATAGATTATTTTTTTATTTTAATATTTATATTAATAAATATAAATATTTATTTATTTACAAATAGTGGTGGTGGAGAAGGATTCTAATTTGGGAGAAAATGTTAAAGTGGATCCCATAAAATAATATTTTATTCATAAAATTGGGTATAATTTGAAATTACGGTGCTATTAAAATTAAAATTAAAATTCATGATATCAGAAAAAGAAAGTCGAATTTAGGTTACAATTAAAATTATCCGCAAGGTTTAAAATATTTTTAATGATTTAGCCTACCTATGACTTATTAGTTGGTTTATTTTTCAAATTTAGACGTTGAGATCAAACTGGAATTTCTATTATAATATCGAAGTTCGTTTTTTTTTTTTTTTTTTTTTTTTTCAAATTTAGACGTTTGAAATCAAACTGGAATTTCTATTCTAATATCTTAAGTTCGTTTTTTTTTTTTTTTTTTTTTTTTAACTTTCTCAGAGGTTTCTTCCTCAAAAAATTCAATTTTTTTTTTTTTTTTTTTTTTTAACTTTCTCAGAGGTTTCTTCCTCAAAAAATTCAAATTGAAGATGAAAACTGGAGTTGAGTTTCTGGCAACAAGAAGTATAATTCCAGCTATCTATGTACATCAAAACAGCTAATATGGGAATAAAAGCAACTCCACAAAACATTAACTTTGGAATATTGGGTTTAAAAAATTAACACAAGATATGCCAAAAACAAAAATTATTATTCCTATATATTTTAATTATTCGGTGCATTGATTTTCACTTCATAATGATTCTTGAAATCAGTGGGGATATCTGCATATTTTTAACTTAATTAAATAATTTTTATTTAATTGCTTTATTGCAAGATCAACGGTGGAATTTGAATTTTGAAGTCTGTGACATATTCTTGTCATATATTAATTAATTCGCTAATTGGAACTAGTCATTGATATTCTATTAATCTAGGAAAATCAAAATGGAATGGTTTACTTATACTTTTACTTTGATTTCAAAAAGAATACCACAAAATAAAGAAATTTTCAAACTATAACTTAAAATAAAATAAAAATGCTAGTGAATTTAATAATCAAAAAGGCTAATTTACCCGACAAGACAAAGACTTTTCATGTGTTCCACATAAAAATGTCTAAATTAACTTTCAAGTGTGTCAATTGAGCATTTTAGATTATGACATTTAAGGTACTTAATTGTAATAATGAATAATTATAATAATCTCTGTCCCACATAACATTGATGTTATTGATGAGAAATCTTACGGACATGATTGAATTAGGAAATATAAAAATTACATTAAGTTGCACAAAAAAGAAGCTTTGCATATGTCACTTTGCAAGTACTATGCCATCATAACCTTTTTGTCATTTGTATTCTCCATTTGCAATTGAGGCTTTCTTTTTCTTTTTTCTTTTTTTTTTTAAATGGAGTAATAGAGAACACGTAATTAATTTAAGATATGATGCCCATCTTTTTTAAGAGGATCTTTAAAACTATGGTTATATACACATTATTTTTTATTTTAAGCTTATTAGTAAAAAGTAAAAAACTCAATCGTCACAATCAGAATCTCCGGACCATATCATAATTAAATAAATTGAAAACTACCGAAATTTATAGTAAGTTTAAATTATAAACTATTTGTCAAAACGATTGATTTTTCATGATCAAACCTCAAATTTTTTAAGTTTATTCCAATATAGATAAATTCTCTAAAAAAACAATTATTTTAAATTGAAAAGTATCTCTAAAAAAACAATTAATCAAATTCTAATTTAATGTTAACATGAGTATTTTCTTCGTATCAAATTCATGATCTTATAAATAAAAATTTGTGATAAAATTTCATTTGAAAATACAGTTTATTGATGCCGATTCAACTGTACATCTATTGGTCATAAAAACACTAATTGCGTTTGCCACGCCGGTGATGAGTGAAAAGCGACGATCGAACAACTTAGAAGCAAGTAAATAAAATCCAAAAAAGAATGAGGTCCAAAGAGAGACAAACAAGTGTCTCATGGAACCCACATGAGACCCAAAATAGAAAACAAACAGCACAAATTAGAAACAAACCTTCGTATCATATCACAGGCATTTGCACTACAAAGGCTAGAATTTCAATGGAATTTATCTCCCAAAAGCCCATACATTTGCCAGCAAACGACAAGGAAATTTCCCGTTTTTGTATGCAAAAGTCAAAACTGTAATTATGGTTTTCTTTCTTGGGGTTCTTGTCCATTTGCTTCTTGGAACTTCATGTTATTGATTTCTTAGACACTTTGTTCCTTTGGAAATTATAATTTATTAGGGTTTCAATTAGTCTCATCGCATGTGCCATGCGCAATGTTTTTCTTTTGTAGGTTATACGGACCCAATGTTGTTGGGAACTCTCCTTTCTAGGGTTTTGGAATTGGGTTGTGTCACCTCATGAGGCTGTACTTTCTTTTTCTTTTTCTTGTTTTTCTTTTTTTTTTTTTTTTTCTAAATTACATGTTGAATTTGTGAACTACACTGTCTTTGTTTGATATGAATGTGATTATGGGAAGATTTTTTAACTCGCACATGAATTAAGAAAAATAATTAATAGTCTAAATTTCACAAATATTAATTTATAAAATGTCTATTTTACCCTCTATTTAAATTAAAAGAGTAATTAAGAGATAAATATATTATGAGTAGAATAATAAATAAATAAGGGCCGATTAAAAAAGAAAAATTAGCAGATTTTTGAAATTATAAAAATAACACTTATTTTGTAACGAAATGAGTAAGTTGAAGCATTACAAGTTGAAATATTTATAAATATAAATTTAAATTAAAATGTTCAATAAATTAAATTAAAAATTAAAAATTTCATATTTAAAAAAAAAAAATAGAAAGTGAATCTATCGATTTTCATTTCATATTAATGATATAAGTTTTGGGCGAGGTATGCATGCAAAACTATTTTATAACACTTAACCCAAAGGAGTGTTCATTATGAACATGTAATGATGATTCTTTTCATAGTGTGTTTTGATCTTTGTTTTTGTCTGTTAAGGTAATTAATGTGGTGAACTTTCTCTTTTTCTTTTCTTTTTTTTCTTTTTTTTAAAGAATTATTATTTTGTTAATTAATAATTTCCTAATCTTAATTATCTACTAATGATTACCCAAACAATAATGTAATGTAATGCATCTTCATTTTTCGTTTGTTTCAAAATTTTAATTCAAAAATAAATAAATATCTAAATATTTTTGTTTTGATATTAATAGTTAGAGGTATTCTCACATCAACTTTACTTAAATGCACTGAGAGATAGATGGAGGACACATTGTGAATCTGTTAGAACACATGCAGGACCTGTGAATTGTTGTGCTAACCATTGAAGAGATGATCGCAACGCCAGAGCCTCAGTCATAGCAGCAGTAGAAAATCCTAATTAATTTTGTAATTGATTCTCCTTTTCTATCTTAAGACAAACTCAATTTGATTTGAGTTAAAAAAAACAAATTGATTCTGTATTTAATAAACTACTTTCTTTGTTCATTTGTACTTAATAATAATATTTCCTCACTTTCTTAATAAGTGTCCATTTTGCTAAAATACAATAATTAAGAAAATGATTAGAAGCAGTTAATATTGCTAGTATTTTACTAAAATGCCCTTGTATTAATGATAAACTTAATTTATTACTCAATTAAATTAGAAGGGTTTATTTGTAAGTTAAAGTGTACTGTTAATTTGATTTTATAAATGACACTTAAATTGGATTTTTATTTTTTTTTTATTTTATTTTTTGCAAAATGGACGCTTATTAACTATTAACGAACGGAGGAAATATTAGGAAAGTAATTTAATAAAATGTTTGTTAATGTCATTAAATTACTACTGTTTTTCTTTCAAATTATTTTAATAGATTTTTAGGCAAATGTCAGATTTAAAGTTTCGCTTTTAACTAAATATTATAAAATATTAAATATAAAGAAACTAACAGTTAATAAAAAAAAATAAAACAAAATTACCCAAACTAACATCAAACAACATGACATTGAATCGTTAAAATAAGCTACTTGAGTAACCCTATAAAAAAAAAAAAGGAAACACTGAAAAAATAGAAAGACACTAAAAAAAAACATTGAAAAAAGGAAACTCTAAAAAAAAGGAAACACAAAATCTGTAAGAGCAAATCTCTATGCAACTTATGTGATTCAACAACGAGGATGATGACCGGCGATGATGACAACAACGACGGTAAATACGATATATATGGTGTATATACTACATCAATAAATACAGTGTATACTGTAAAATCAGTATATATCGATGATGACAACAACGACGGTAAAATTACG